GTCCCGTCCTGCTTGTGTCCCTCCGTGACACCCCCTCACCCGGCTCCCCCGCTGCCTCCGGCAGGGCCCGCCGCGCTGCTCCTCCCTGCAGGCCCCAATCATGCTGCTCTCGGGGCACGAAGGAGAGGTGTACTGCTGCAAGTTCCACCCCAACGGCAACACCCTGGCCTCTGCTGGCTTCGACAGGCTCATCCGTGAGTACCGGGCACCGCTGTCCTAGCTGGTGCTGTGCGGGGCTGGGGACCATAGGATTCTTCTGTGACGGGGTTTGATCTCAGCCCTTAGCTTGCTGGGTCTTGAGCGTGAGGTGCTTCACTAGGAGGGGTGTAAGAAACTTCTTTCAGCTCCTCTGGCAGGTCACTCTCCAGCTGGGGTGGGCCCTTCCTCAGGTGGGGCTGGTACCGGGCCGTGCTCCTCACAGCCCTGTGTTCCCTGTCCCTTGCACAGGTTACTGTTGCTCCACGTTTGGCTGCAGCAGTGACCGTCTGCAGAAATGCAAGTTTTAGTGCTTTGGCTCGCTGAGGTGAAGTTTGTTATTTTTTGTAATCAAGCTTAATCTAAAACCATAAATGAGCTCAAACCAGCTGTCTGTCCTTCCAGGGCTCAGCCGATGCTTCTTTACAGGTCCACATCAGCCCAGATGGAGGCAGTTGTGGTTACAGTACTGAGTTTGGTTTGCTGAGTTCCTGCAGAACTGCTTCCTCCACAGCAGGGAGTTGTTCCCGTGTTTCCCGTACTCACCTCTCCCTTCCTTTCCCCCAGTGCTGTGGAACGTCTATGGGGACTGCGATAACTATGCCACCCTGAAGGGCCACAGCGGGGCTGTTATGGAGCTGCACTATAACACAGATGGCAGGTAAGTGGTGTGTGGGCAGAGTGTCTGAGGGATGAGCTTTCTGCTGGCCAGAGCCCCTCAAAGCACCTCGTCCTTGTCCCACGCTTGCAGTGTGGCTTTCTCAGGTAAGGAGTGATGCCTGCTTGAGATTAAGAAAAAGGATCTGGAGTCACCTGTTGACCCGCTGGTGCCCAAGTATCTTGAGGAACATGGGAAAGTTTGTGTTGGTCACATGGGAAACAGGAGGGAAAGAAAACAAGTGAGAGATTTGTTAGTTTGAAAGGCTGTTCAGGTGTTGCACCTGAGCCAGGATTGTCGCTGAGCTTTCCTTCCTGTGTTGATCCCCAATAGTGTTTGAGGAGGTGGAAAATACATGTGTATCTAGAAACGGGGTTTAATGGGAGTGTCTCCAGTGTAGCTGCTCTACTGTCAGTCAGCCTGCTCTGAAATGCCACCTTTGTCGTGCTCTGTGGGGGAGACTTCATGGTGTATTCCCACGGCACGTCTCAAGCGTTGACTGCAGAACTTGGGAGGAAAAAAGGTGGGAGGGGAGAAATGCTTCTAAAAGAGAGAACCTCACAGTGATTCTCCTCTGCAGCATGCTCTTCTCAGCATCCACAGACAAAACCGTGGCTGTGTGGGATAGTGAGACTGGAGAGAGGGTGAAGAGGCTGAAGGGCCATACCTCGTTTGTGAACTCCTGTTACCCGGCAAGGCGAGGACCCCAGCTTGTCTGCACAGGCAGTGATGATGGGACAGTGAAGGTCAGTGCATTGTGTAAGGAGATAGTCTGCAATGAAAGTAAGATTGGATCTTTGAAAGAATTTTGGGGATTTTTAAGCGAGATAAATTCACCCATTTTTTACTCTTATAATTCCGTTACCTAATAACTTTGATTTCACAGATAAAAAATTTGAAATAAAATTTAATTGTTCCTTTTCTGCTGTAATTCTTTGGGGGTGTGTGGATTAAGAAGATTCACCTGCTCAGTTGTACTTTTTCAGCTGAACTGCACTAACAAAGCATGAGAAAGGCAAGCTGATAATGAAATCTCACACAATTACCCCTTCTATCCCCCACACTCCTGTGCTCTAACCACACCAAGTTTTTACTGTGTTTTCTGTAGACATCTCCTGAGGTCAAAAAGAGGATTTCAGGAGAGCAATCTGAGTCTTTGCTAAGTGTCTGTGCAACTTCCTGTAATTTTATCGTTAAATATATGCGTAACATCTGCATTATGATATAACATACAGTGTATTATGATATAGAATTTATTTATAATTATTAGTAATATCTAATGCAATAATGAACAAATTATTTATGATATATAATACATATAATATATGCATTAAATACATGCAGCTTTTACAACTGCCGTGTCTTTCCAGCTGTGGGATATCAGGAAAAAAGCTGCTGTCCAGACATTTCAGAACACGTACCAGGTCTTGGCTGTAACTTTCAATGACACCAGTGATCAGATCATATCCGGGGGCATCGACAACGACATTAAGGTAGGACACCTGTGTCCTCGTGTGCCTTTCCGACCACACACATCTTTTCCATCTTGTCACATCTTGCATTGGTCAAGGACAAATGTGGGAGCCTGTTGGTTAATTTTTACAGTCACAAGAACCACGCGGACCTGCTGTGTCCGACCTCACTGTTGGTACAGGGCCAGTAAACTCTGAAGGAGTTGCTCCAGGGCTGTTTGCCATGTGGCAGCCAGGGCAGTGCTGGTGTTGCTGGCTGGGTGTCCCAGCACTGCTGTCACCCGCTGCAGCCTGTACCTTGTGCTGGCTCTTCTGGCAGCCTGTGCCTGTCCCAGAGCCTCTAGAGCTATATATGAGGTAAACTAAAGAATATGTGGTGACACATCCACACTCTGCCCTCTGCTCCAGTTTACAACTTTGTCACCTGCTAGTGTGGAAAGTTCTTGTTTAAGAGTGAGCTCAGTGTTTCATTCAGCTGGTAACGGAGGTTCTGCTGATAGCTCTATGGTTCAGTCTATTTACTGTCCTTTTAGCCTCAGGCTCCAGCCTTACCTGGGCGTGGGGGGCACATGCTTGTCAGAGAGACATCACTAAGTGTAGCACTGCCATGGGATCTGTTCCGACTGCCCCTTGAAAGACTGTCCCTCTTCAGGAAAGAACAGCATGGAATTTTGGGGATTGGATAACTGCTCTGTGCCATCAGTCAGTGGAATTTGGGAGCTGGGGGAACTCTAGCCATGTAGAGAAGGATTCCTACGTGCATGGGGCTGCTGACCTTGGTGGTTGGTTCAGTTAGAAGTCTTCTAAGGAGCAAATTCAACTTTTTTCTACAACACACATAGAATTCTAGCCTCATATTTTAGCCATTCAGACCCCACCAGCTGGAATCAAAAGCTGATGTCACCAGCTGACTGATCACTCCCAGTGAGGAAGGCTTTGGAATCAGCAGTTCCAACAGTCTTGGCTGTCTTTTTGTTAAGCTGCAATGTTGTGTCTGAAAGGTGTGGGACCTTCGCCAGAACAAGCTCACTTACACCATGAGAGGACACGCAGACTCGGTGACAGGCCTCAGCCTGAGTTCAGAAGGCTCCTACCTGCTCTCCAACGCGATGGACAACACAGGTACGTCCTGCCTGATGGGAGAGCACAGCTTTGCACGGCCTCCAGGATGGAACAGCTTCAGTTGTTTGAGGTAGAAAAAAACAAGAGCTAGACATGGGGGTAGGCTGAAGGGAGTTTGGCTCTGGAGGTAAATCTTGAATTCTTGTTACGCTGGTGACAGTCACGTCCTTTGTGGGGAGGGAGCAGCTGCATCAGAAGGGTTTGTCATGGTGAGGACACAAGCCACAGCACACGCTATTTGCGCAGACAGTTGAGCACAGTCTCGGTCTGGCTCCTGTCAGGACAGTTTGGCTCTTCCCCGCAGCAGGGAATGACAGCGGAATGTCCAAACGGCCTGTCTCCTGTGTGGGGTGTTCAGTGAAGCTGATCTGATCAGAAGCATGATCACAGAGTGTGTTAGAATAAAGCAAAATGCTCATGTAAGGAGGTGGTGGCTCGTTGGTGTAATAGTTGTTTTGGATTTTTCCCCTCCTGTTGGCAGTGGTCTTGGTGTAATTATAAATTTCTGCGTTTGACCTTTCGTATCAAAGCTTTCTACAGGGGAAAGCTGCTCCTTTCCTTTTGCTTCTGGGGAAACCTAGGCATGAAGAGAACAAGGAGCATGACCAGGTCTTTGCTCGTTAGTGGCACGTCTTAGGAAAAGGAACGTTTCCAGAAGCTGACCTTGCCCACAGGTCTCTGCCTTCTTCAGCTAATTACTGTGAGCTCTCTTGCAGTTCGCATCTGGGATGTGCGACCATTTGCCCCTAAAGAGAGATGTGTGAAGATTTTCCAGGGGAACGTACATAATTTTGAAAAGGTGAGTGTACTGCAGACCAAAACATGATTTTCTGTTGCTGCTATTAACTCTTCTGTAAATTGTTTTTTAAATTCAAGTTTAAACCAGAAAGGCTTTAATAAGAACTCAAAGAAAGATAAATGCACAAAGTGGGATTCCAATTAAAGCCGCGGTAACAAGATTTCTTTGCTTGGTTCAGCTATAATTAGCTGTAAATTAAGAATTTTCTACATTTACTATCTACTTTATGTAAAATAACAAGGCACTGGATGTTTCCAGCAATAAAATAAAATCTGTAATTACCATCTCATCTTCCGAAGGGAGATCATTAAAGTGGTGCTCATGATGTTTAAAGTCTTGTGGTGATTTTCAGTCAGGCAGAAGGGGAAAACTAAATCTTCCTTTGGAAATAGACCTGTGTGTGTTCTTTTATTTTAGAATCTTCTGAGGTGCTCTTGGTCCCCGGATGGGAGTAAGATAGCAGGGGGCTCGGCTGACAGGTGAGTTCCACGGTGTTTATCTCTCACCATCAATCCCAGACGGTTTTCCAAGCACTCCTGAAGTGAGATGGATCATGTCAAAAATGAATCTGAAGACCCAGAGTTGTGCATAGAGGTGTGATGATCTGAACCATCCCCCGTGATTTTCTGTGAGCGTTGTCTGCCCTGGTTACAACAGGCAGTGGAGGAGTGCAAGTTGTAAAATCACCTTATTGTCAGAAGCTGACCAGGGATCTGCATTACTGCTGCTGTTCAGCCGCAGGATCCAACACGAGAAGCAGCAGCTGACAGGAGTGTGCTTGTCACTGGACTAGGTCCCTTGTGTCGTCCCAGCAGATGCTTGTGAGAGTTGTCAAGATGCAGGGAGTCTGGAGAAG